ATTCATTGTAAATAATGGAGGTTTTAAAAGAATTTATTATCTAAAAAATAAATTCTTTATATTCACAAAGTATCGATAGTTTGTAGTAGAGATTGATTAATTTAAGTTATCCTTTATAAATTCTCTTAAAAGAGTATCAATAAATTAAAAGGGTAAAAATAATAATAGGGAAACACCGCAGCCAAAAGCGGTGGTATTTTTTTAGGGAGGTAGGCAAGGGTTTTTGAAGGGGGTTTGCATCCAGTGAAAATCCTGTCATGTAGTCGCTGAGTATTGATATAAAGGCCACGACAGAACTACTGCATATATTTCCATTAATAAAGTTGATGAAATTGGCCGTACTGTACATTCAAGTTTGAACACGCAAAACGATATTTCTATCAATGTCAGCATTGGTATCCCCTTCTAAAATAGAATCATGAACGACAATGTTAACTCAACCATAAAACGGTCGTAAGTATTGTTTTAAAGGCCACGACAGAACAACTGCATATTTTCCATTAATAAAGTTGATGAAATTGGCTGTGCTGTACATTCAAGTTTGAACATTCCTCTAAATATTCATGAAAGTTTCTCAGAGAATCGGATAAAGTAATATTTATATTAACTCCTAGTGAAGTGAATGATAGTACAGAATTAAATGTTTATATTTGTTAAAAAATAGGCGGAGGCATAGGGATTGTGGTAGTGGTGATAGTATAATTTGGAGAACTGGGTGAAAATGAAATAAACATAGACATAAAACATAAGATAAAAAAAAATAAATAATAAACCTCCAGATGAGTTCATTTCAAGAGTAGTTCTTTATTATTTTGTCTACCAGTAACTCTAGAATGGGTAAGGCGTTTGTTTAATGATCATTATTTTCTTTGCTTATCTTTAATAATAGATTCATCATGTTTTGTAGCAATGTGAGGGAGTAGGGTTAGCCTAGACAAATAAAGAAATCAGGCAAAAATATAAATAAACTATTGTTGAAATTAAACAAACATTAAAATAATGTAAAACCGGTAGATGGGTCAATATTAGATGCATATTTCTAGTAGTTGGAGGGCTATCATCAAAAAAATTTTGGGGGACATATCAAGCCTATTATGATATTCTAAAAGTTAAAAATAACATGATGAATGTAATGTTATTAAAATTAAGGTTAATTAATTGTAAGGTAATTAAAAAATAAGATTAAAAAAGGGGGAAAAAAGAAGGTATAAATTATTATATTATAAAAATAATAAAAATTAAATTAAAGGAATTGATAAGGTTTTGAGAAATAGTGGTTAATAGATAATAGAGATAGAAAGAAAAGAATGAGATAGTAAAATTTAGTGATAAATAAAAATGTTTATACTTGTTAAAAAATAGGTGGAGGTGGCATAGGGATTGTGGTAGTGGTGATAGAAATATCATTTGCAGAACTGGGTGAAAATAAAATAAACATAGATATAAAACATAAGATAAAAAAAAAACAAAATAATTGAGTTCATTTCAAGCGTAGTTCTTTATTATTTTGTCTACCAGTAACTCTAGAATGGGTAAGGCGTTTGTTTAATCGTCATTATTTTCTTTGTTAATCTTTAATAATAGATTCATCATGTTTTGTAGCAATGTGAGGGATTAGGGCTAGTCTAGACAAATAAAGAAATCAGGCAAAAATATAAATAAACTATTGTTGAAATTAAACAAACATTAAAATAATGTAAAACCAGTAGATGGGTCAATATTAGATGCATATTTCTAGTAGTTGAAGGGCTATCATCAAAAATTTTTTTTGGGGGACTTATCAAGCCTATTATGATATTCTAAAAGTTAAAAAATAACATGATGAATGTAATATTATTAAGATTAAGGTTAATTAATTGTAAGGTAATTAAAAAATAAGATTAAAAAAGGGGGGAAAAAGAAGATATAAATTATTATATTATAAAAATATTAAAAATTAAATTAAAGGAATTGATTAGGTTTGGCTATCATCAGAAATAAATTTTTGGGGGACTTATCAAGCCTATTATGATATTCTAAAAGTTAAAAAATAATATTATTAAGATTAAGGTTAATTAATTGTAAGGTAATTAAAAAATAAGATTAAAAAAAAGGGGGGGGGGAAGAAGGTATAAATTATTATATTATAAAAATAATAAAAATTAAATTAAAGGAATTGATAAGGTTTTGAGAAATTATTAATAGATAATAGAGATAGAAAGAAAAGAATGAGATAATAAAATTTAGTGATAATTAAATTCATTAAGGGAGGGGAAAAAATAAAGAAAGAGTTATTTATAAGGATTGGAGATTATGAATAGGTTAGGATAAGAATATTTAAATATTTAAATATACTTGGTTATCTTCTTAATTATTGGTTATGAAAGAAAATATGAGTATAAAAAGATTTCATTAAGGTGATTGATAATATGAGATGAAAATTGATAAGGTAATCTAAAAAATAAAGAAAAGATTAAGTGAAATAAAAAGTATCATTCATATTTACAAATTTGAGGGACAATTCATCCATGTTAGGTATGTGTGCACCATCAATTCCATTCATCTGTATGAATAAAATAAAATAAAATTAACAAATAAAAAAAATAAAAATAAATACGTACCGATGACACGATGTAGCGATGACGTAGAGAGGACATCGGAAAATTATAATATAGATAGAGGAATATCAACTATATGTCTTTTTTATAAATAAATTTCTTATACTTGTTTCAATAACATATATAATACCTAGACTGACAAATCATTCATTAAAAATGTAACATCAATGCAAAAAAGCTGAAGACGCCATCTTGGTTACACTAATCATTATTAAAATTTTAAACGATAGTCTAATTTATTCCTATATCTGATGCAAACTTTATTAAAGAATTACCTGATCATCGAGATAATAAGGAAGCAAGTTATCAATGTAGTAGTTTTTAACATGAGAATAATTACTATATGTGTTACCAAAATTGCGGGTCCAGCTGATTTGCTTTTAACGACGCTTAAAAATTTATTTTAATGAATTAATCATCAGTCTAGGCATTATATATGTCATTGACTTGTTGGGAATAAATTATTACCATGCTTTTATATTAATGTATATAAAAGTTATTTATTATATTTTATATAAACTAATAAAAATATATTTCATATTTTTTGTTCCAAGCTTTTTTTTTTATTAAAAATAACCTCCTATCTTGTAAAAATATTTTATGACTATGAGACTAAGGTAACCCGGATAAAGGTCAGGCAAAAGCGAGCCAAAAGCATGCCAAAATGGGGTCTGGGGGCGAAGCCCCAGTATTTTTTCAACCCCCCCCCCCCCCTCCTTAAAAAAATCATGGCTACGCCTATGACCTCACAACATTTTTTGATTGAGATAGCAAAAACAGATGCCCGAATTAGAACCCTAAAAACGACTTCCACTGATAATTTTTCTGAAATAAAGGATACTAATATAATAGAAAATCTCTTAAAAGCGTTTTATAAATCTAAAAATTCTCAAATTAGTATTTTTTATCATTTTTCTTATATTAAAAATATGTATATAAAATTAAATACTGTCTTGCCCTCAATGCTGGTGTTGAGAAATTATTTAGTAAGGCAAAACTTCCTTATGATCGCTCTAGACTTGGGAATGATAATATAGAAATTATTTTTATCAAAATGCAGCAAAATAAATAAAAAATAAATATTACAACATATAGTTATTTTTATTACATAAATTATAATCTTTTTGAATAATTTTTTTTTATAATTCAAACTAACTATATTTAATATTTATAAATGTTGATTTAATTTTATGTATTATATATTATGCAATTATACTGTAAGCAAAAAAATAAATTATTTTATAAAAATTAGCCTAAAAAGTAGCCAAAGCTACTTTTAAAAAATAGTACCTGCTAATAACGCGCTACACTCTCGCTACCCAATGACAAATAGCGTAATCGGTAGATCGCTACTTTTAAAAGTAGGGTTTAACAACTCTAATAAATATAAACACGCACACAAATTGATTAAATTTAGATTATATTTATATTATAATTTTAGGATATCCTCATTAAGTATTATCATAATGGCATCGTGCCATTACAACGTAATTCATTATGTATTTAATAGATCATATGACTTATTAAGTTCACTGATATCTTTATCAAGAATGATATATTTCAAATTTTTTTTATTTTTTCATCTATTGAGCTTATTGTCGTGTTAGATTATTAGGTATGTATTTATCAGATATCTGAACATTATTTTATTTTTTTAAAGTGAGAGACGCAGAGGAAAGGTAGAAGTTATTAAGTTTATCTTCATTTTAAAATATCATTTTAAGTAATAATTTTTATCAAAATTGTTACATGATTGTAATTAATGTTTTATTTTAATTTAAAGTTTAATGGTTATAAAGGCGTTAATGTCATATTATATTTTGACTTTACATGTCCATTTAAATGTTTTTTATTTTGAGGTGTCAATTTAACATATTACCAATTAATTGATTTGACCAAGCATATATATGACTAGATGATATATACAAAAGAAGATCATTGAAGTTTAAAGAAAATAAAAGATTAAATTATTCTCATTGTATATCGATCAAACTCCATATATAGTTCAGACAACCCCTCTTGTATCAAAAATAAAAGGAGGATCATTACTTCAACAAATTAAGATACATATATACAAAAATTATAATTAACAACAAGGTAAAATAATATGATTTAAAAAAAATATAAATTAGTTAACATTTTTTTAAAGATAAGAGGTCTTAAGTTTTCTTATTTGTAAAATATTTAATTTGCATAATAATATAAAGTGAAAACTTAAATATAAAGAAATCGAAATCAAAAATATATGTCATAGGAATATCCAAGAAAAATATTTACTTTCAAAAATATTAAAGTTATAAAAAGTCCGTGATTATAATAAAGTTAAATAAAGCAACGCATTAACATAATGCATACTATAAATTAGGCTAAAGATGGTGATCATTCCACTATTTAATATGTGGAGTTATATATAATCTTCCATTATAATTAATAAAAGCTTTTAATGCAACTACCCATGATACCTCCAGGGCATCATATTCCACCTGAAGCCATGATTAATCATGAACAATATCATTCCAATATGTATAACTATCCTATGTAAATATTTTACGATTCAATATACATATTTATATAATTTATAGGCGACCAATCCACACTCAGTTTGGTCCACCACCAAATCTTATAAATCCATCCTTTAATCATTTTCTTCATCCCGAATATAGAATTTATGAACTCAATAGAAGACTTCAACAAAGATCAGAAGTAATATAAATATAGTATATAAAATGGCTTAATCACAATACACTACATTTTTATTATAAATTTGAAAACTTTCAACCAAAAGTTGTAATATGATAATTATTTATAATACAACTATATAAAACACCTGTTTCTGTTATAAGTATTTACATATTAAATTATCATGTAAAATAAGTTTATTAATATCAATATTCAGATAAAGATTTGCCAAACAATATTATAAAGTTATTCAAAATGATAGTGTCTTTAATAATTTTTGTTTTCGCTATCAATCTACTGATTTATTTTTTAAAAATTACCAAAGTTAATGATAAAATTTAACAAAATGTACTTGTTCAGAAATAACTAAGGTTTATTTTTAATTTTTTTATTAGTATTATTTTAATAACTGTTACTTTTTTTTATAAAACATTCATTTTGAGCTAAATCATAAAAAAAGTGTCTTATAGTTTAACAAAAGATAGAATTTCAAAATATACTTCGATTAAGGTGTGGAAAATTCCTACAGAAGAATTTATAATATAATATATAATTAGAAATGTATTTAAGTTAAATAACATGATGAATTCCATAACAAATCAACTAAAAAGAGTCAATTTTTATCAGAGTTTTTAAAATTTTGTATATTGACACTATTTACTATAACTAAGAAAAAATTGTATTTTACTTCCTAACTCACAAAATGCACTTCATTTGTTTTCAAATATCTTAAGAATAATTATGTTGAGCAATAATTTAAATTTTATTACATAATATGGTATACAATGAATGTGATAGAAATCCTATTAATACCAATAACCAGAAAAAACTGAAATGATCATTGAAAAAGGCATTTTTTTCTGTAGATAAATACCAGACAACTTTATAGTACAAATTTATAGACTTGGATGAATGTGGGTCTAGGAGCTGTGACCTTTATATGGCTAAAAGGTTCAAATTTAACATATATTTCATCATATTTACATTTAATACTTATTTAATAATTTTTATTAAAAATTATCTCTAAATAAAAGTCCTTTATTATTTAAAAAAAATATTCAAGAGATAATGTGGTTTATTTAAAATAGGGCTGTGCTGATCCACATATTTTTCACGATCTGATATTTTTCTATATTGGTTCAAAATCAATACGATATTTATTTTATATTGATTTTTCACCACCCCCCTTTGAACCAAATGTAATTAAGAAATCAATATTTTTTTATGCAAAAAATAAATTATGCATTTAATTTAATTTTTTTATTATACAATAATTAAAAAAAGTTTACAGATATTGGTAGTATTAAATGAATTTTTTATTATTCCTCCCCATGAAATTAGAATTCTGCGATAACACATTTTGCAAAATTATCTTTTTCTTTTGAAAAAATTTCCATAATTCAGAAATCATATTTAAAAAAATTCTTTTATTTAAAGTATAAATAATAAAATTGATATTATTATTTAAAAAGATTTAAAATAAATAAACTTTGGTGTTCCTTTCTATTTTTATAAAAAACTTTTAAAATACTATAAATCTATTTAAAAAAATTAATAAAATTTAAGGGGTGTTGTGCATTCGTATTGTTTAAAAAAAATTATTTAGAAAATATTATTAATATAATATAAATATACATAAAATAACAAAAAAAAGAAAAGTAAAAAGATCGGATCGGGTTCTTACAGGTATTGGCCTGACCAATATTTTTGAAAAATGCTAAATATCGGTGCAGATCCAATCCGATATTTAATATCGGCACAGCCCTAATTTGAAACTTTGATTAAATTTTCTCTCAAAATTGCTTAAAAAATAATTTTAACTTATTTTAGCATTTATCAAAAATAAAAGAAAGATGTAATTTATAATTTAACCAGAATTCAAAAGATTATATAATTAAACAATGATTAGCAGGAAATTGCACTACCTTTGAAATGCTGTCAAAATCTGCCAAATAATTTGTAATTATTTGATCTAAAAATTAAATAATTGGATTCCTCATTCTTATAGCTTCACAATAATTTATTTCAAAGCTCATTAAAATCTAATTGAAATGTTGGTGAATTAGTTATTGCTCACCTTTCAGCAAATTGTACATTTGTAGTGCAGGACTGTTCACAAGGATTCCATTGGAACAATAATCAGATCACTATTCACACACTTTATTACCTTTAATGCCATTTCCAAATGATCTTTTTTCGGAGGCATGTTTTTCACATTTTTTACTTCAAACAATTTATATTATGCAGCTGATTTTTTATAGTACAAAATATTTTAATAAATAACTTATAAAAGATAACAATGTTATTTTAAAGTTAATATATTTATTTAAATATAAAAAGCATATAAAATACTTACAGGATTAAATTATTTTCAAATTGCTTATATTAGCAGAATAAGCATACTGAATATTCAGAGGAATAATTTATCCAAGAGAAAGATAAGACTTAATTTTTATAAAAATATCTATTGATGCTGTTATAACTTATAAAGAATTAAAATTTTAAATGGCATTCCACATAACTGTGTTATAATCTAATTATTTGTAAATATAAATTGTATAAAATTTATAATTGTATAATTAATTTCAATAACATATATGTCATATTAGCTAAGGTTTGTAATTATTCCCATATATTCATGGACAAATGTAATATCTGAATATTCAATTCTATAAAAGTAATCATGGATAGTTATCTAATAATTCTATTATCATAATTTCCTTAAATTCATTGAATACCTTATTTTAATTTAATAATGGAAATATAAATTAATATATTTGTAGCAAATTTAAAAAATTCTTTGTTGCAATATCAAACTATTTGCATTTTAGCATATAAAATCCACAATTCAATCTTATAATACATCGAATATTTTCTTTGAGTAAGTATGTTTCACCTGGTATTGCATAATATTATATTTAAAAAACAACTTGTTCACTTCAATAATATAAGGCACCATTTAATCATTAAAAAATATCAAAAAAGTTAAATATTAAAAATACAGAATCACAATTTGGAAATATAAACCGATTAAGCCATGTTTGTTTTTTACTGACAGAATAACCAAAATTTATTATTTTTCTGACATGGGACAAAGTCAGTGACATTTTTTTACAACTGCACATGGTAAAAATCTTTGTGGCAGTTTTGGGAGCATTACTAAATGGTTAGCAGCTTGAGAAAGCTTGCATCACACACATAAAAATCACCTATTGACAACAATGGTATATAACTATGCTAGAAATAATATCAAGAGGAGTAAATTATATATTTATGAGCAATGATGAATATTTAAGTGTGGAATATTATATTGGAAACAGGTTTTTTACAACTGAAACCTAAAAGTTTTATACTTTTATCCCTAAGAAAAAATAAAATGTAAACAAAGCAAAATTTATTCAAATTCTTAGAGTGATTTAATATATGATATATTTTATAATTTTTATATAAAATAAATTTTTGATTGTATTACATGTAATTGTAACAATTATTTAGCCAAATAAAGTTATCAATATTTTTATAATTATTTTGCCATGTATTTTGAAAGAAAATTTGGCCAAAGTGTTAAATAAATAAACCACGTTACCCCCCCTCCCCCCCCCACTACCTCTCAAAGATTTTTTTTAACTTTCATTTAAACATAATTTTTAAATAAAATTTTTTACATAAGTATCTTTTAAATTTAAATATGAAGGTATTTATGTTAAATTTGATCAATTCATATAAATGGTTACAACTCTTAGATCCACGTTTATCCCAGTCTAGGATTTTGTACAAATTTAAAGCAGTCTGGTATATATGTACAGAAAAAAATAATTTTTTTATTACCTTATTTTTCTATGGACATTTTCGGTTTTGTATTTCTGATTTTTGGTATTAATATTATTAATATCATATTAGCAGTCTGGTATATATCTACAGAAAAAAATAACTTTTTTATTACCTTATTTTTCTATGGACATTTTCGGTTTTGTATTTCCGATTTTTGGTATTAATATTATTAATATCATATTCATTATTAATATCATATTCATTTATGTATCATATTGAAGATCTATTATTAATAAAATCGAAAATATTGCTCTACCTTAATTGGGAAGTAAAATTTTGTTTTTTTTCTTAGGTATAGTATATGTTACAAATATACTAAATTTATTAGAAATCAGAAGGAATCGATTGAAACCTTAGTTGATTTGATATAATGCATCATATAGCCATTGGATTCAATAATAAAATTTAAATAATTATATTAATTAAAATTTTCCAATAATTTTTAAGAATAATTGTTTTAGACATTCATCATTAGACTCGGTTTTTAAGCTTTTATCTTAGTTTTCTATGAGTTCCTTTAAATATGAAACTAGTTTTTTAATTATTTCATTTTGTGACTGCCATATCCAATGCCATTCAAGTTTAAATACTGAATATATTATGGAGGAAATAAATACTGATCTTTGTATATATTAGAGATCTACAAATCTCGAACTGACCTGACCCTATCAGGCCCAACCTATTTTTAAAAAATAATTTTAGTTCAGGATATGTCAGGCCTAATATTTAAAAAAAATTGGGGCCGAGCTGGGTTGGGCTTTTATTTTTAGATATTCAATTCTGTAAAATAAATGATATATTTTAAAATTCTTGCAAGATACAAGACATATATATTTTTTATTTATAGAAAGTTTTTTGTACAATTAAAAAACATTAAATTTTTCTATATTTAAATAAATTTATGTGGGCAGATAAACAATTTTTATTTGGTGTCAGAGTTTTTGGGACAAATAAAATAAAATCTTTTGGGATTGGGGCCACACCAGACAAATTTTTTAAAAAAAATTTGGGCTATGCAGGGTTTGAAAAATTAGGCTTGATGTAGATCACTATATATATACTTAAATCCAAAATGAATAAAATATAAGTGTAGATATTAGAGATCTGCAAATGATTTTCATATATACGCTTAAATCGAAGATGAAATTATAAGTATAATTGATATTCGAGATCTGCAAAGTCTGATCTGTCTC